CTTCTCAGCACGTTTTTAGAATATTAGTCTAGGCTGTGACTACTCAGATCATGGCTGACTGGTTTAGGTTTCAGTCAAGCCTGCTGTCTCTTATTGACGTGAAGTACAGACATTTTTCTTTGTGCTTGTCACATGCAAGAGGCCAGGTTAGCTTTCCCCCTAGAATTCTTTTTTTTTTACTTATACTTGGAATTCATCACAAGCAAAAGGTAACAGCAGTACCGGGAAATTGTTTTGCATTTAGAATCATTGAAGCCAGTTAGATCAAAGATAAGATTAAAGTGTATTTGTTTTCTTGTTAATTCTTTCTCTCCCTCCCTCCCTCTCTCTCTCTCTCACACACACACTCACACAAACACACACAAACACACTTCATTTTCCAAAATATAGCATAGTCATATTCTGCTTCATCACTAGGCAGCTTTGAAAGGGACAACATATCGTGTTCTTCTAATACTTTTCGACCTGTCTTCCTCTCCTTCCTCTTGGGGGAAAATGTTTGTGGAGTTTTGCTGTTTGAGGAAATTGGTTTTCATAAGGGACTAGAGAATGAATGTGCGAAATAAATAAATAAGGCCGTGGATTAGGGGAAGAGAGTGAGTTTAGCTACGAAAAAGCAACACAGCATCTTATTTTCCTTGCTCTAGCTTTCCTTCATTACAATAACTGAAGCCTGATCATATTTATAATTCCTCGGAAGTGAATCGCATTTTTCTTAGTGGATTTTTGCCTAGCCTTTTACTTCTTTCTTATCCAGCTTATATCTCGCCCACTTCATGCACATGCATCTATCGATCTACTTAAAACTTAAAAATAATGGCAATTTTCTTCCTTAACATATGCGTAGCACCATATTGGCAGAAAGAATGGATAAAATAGGCTATTTCCTATCCTTGAAAACCTTTGAAATATGCATTTAGATACACTTTTTTTTTAAAAAAAAACTGCATTAACTATACATTTAGAGAGTTAAAAAGAAAAGCTGCAGAACTAGCACCAGATGGAATTGTGAGATCAAAAATCAATGGATTCCATTAATAGAAAGTTCCTATTTATTAGGGAGTTGCTTGGGATGTCAGCCTGTTAATTCCAGGTGACGTACAATGGTGTTTCAATTTCTGCACTGCCAGAATAGATATTTGAAGAGCACTTTGCATGTTCTCACTTACATTTATTTATTTATTTTAATTTTCCTCCTGCTATATGAGCTTAGGTCTTTCCATTGTTCCTCAGAGATGGTCTGTCCAGATTTATTCTTCTCCTTTAGGACTATTTTGCTTTAGGACTATTAATTCTAAGCAAGGTTAAGGCAACAGAATGATCCTGGAAGGTTTCTATTGATAAACACCTCTGTTCACCACATATTTTCATATATTTGAACAAGTTGGCATGCTGCAAATCCAGCCTCAATTTTGGCCATGAATTTGATTTGCAAGAACGTTTCTGGGTCCCATGCACCGTGTTTCTCAGAATAGAAGCTTATTGTTGGGGCGGGTTGTGTTTTCTGAGAAATATGGTAGTTCTGAAAGGTCCTATTAGAAAGTGAAAAAGATGAGAAGCTATAATCCAGAAGTTTGTTTTGAAGTGTCTTCTTCGGCCTTGGAAAATAATAGACAAATGGAGGAATGAATGAACCGGCAAAGTTGGATTGATAGAAAATAGAACTGCAAGAAAGCTACAATTTGGAGATTTAACATATCAAAGGATATTTTTTAACAATGGACCCTGAAATTAATTTTAGGAGTATCTGCTTCTATAGATATATAGACTGTGATTAAAAGATTTTCTGGAAGAGGAACAAAATCAAACTGATTTGAAAGTGGATTTAACAATGACAGGCTATAAGAATAACATGGACATACAAAAGAAACTGGCTTGTGTCTTAATAATAAAATCAAATTTCACAATCAGAGCACAACATTATGCAATTAAAACATTATTTTAATGATGTCACCTTAGTGCAGGCCATAAATTACTTTTCTGCAGAGAAGAAACCATGGCTTCTCAATCTTTTGATCAGCGGGAAATTGTGTCATAATTTTCCTTCTTTCCTAATACAACAGACAGACCAGAAGAGAATGAAAAACCATTTCTACAGTCTTAGATGTGACCAAAATAAAAAATAAAAATGCCTCCAATGACTGCATTATTAACGCCCTTCCCCTATTTTGTGTGTGTTGCATGCTAATAAGAAATAGGGCTTTGATTGCACAATCACAAAGCCTACTCATGATTTTTTTTGACACAAACACACACACACACACACACACACACACACAACATAAAGGTATCTGTATTCTTGACAGGAAGAATTACCAGGAGTCAAGCTTAATTCAAAAGAGATTTTGCTGAAATGCTGAATTAATTTGCAAATAGTTNGGTTGACTCAGCCTTCCATCCTTCCAAGGTGGGTAAAATGAGAACCCGGATTGTTGTTGGGGGCTATATGCTGACACTGTAAACCGCTTAGAGAGGGCTGAAAGCCCTATGAAGCGGTATATAAGTCTAACTGCTATTGCTATTGCTATTGCCAAGAGTTCGATCCTGACCGGCTCAAGGTTGACTTACCCTTCCAGCCTTCCAAGGTCAGTAAAATGACTACCTAGATTGTCAAATGTCGAGGGCATTACGCTGACTCTATAAGCATAGAGTACTGTTCAGAACACAGAGTAGTTCTGTTCAGCACTGTTGTTAACCTATAAGGGGCTAATCTAAACCACTGTTGTAAACTTTATTTCCTTGGGAAATAATGCTGTAGAAAATACTTCAAAAGTAGTTTAACTTCTATTTAAACAACTCATGGATGCATTGGAATAAAAGATCATTTATACAACAAAGACGTACCCCTTGTAGAATAAAAGCTAGGAACGGAAGAAGCAACAAAATGGCATTTTAAGATGGTTCAACACACTTATTCAGGCCAGAAAATATTAAAGGAATAGTATGTTCAACAGTGCCATCAAGTGGTACCTGAAATAATAATTATATGGCATACATACACTTGCAAAGTTAAGAATATGCTGTTTTGATCTGAAGGGAAAATCTCAAAATTGCCTTTCCTCCTGTGAGATGGTTATGTAAATAACATAGCAGAGAGTTTCAATCCTTTCAGACTTATTATTGTATTTATTTATCAGAATAGTCACCACAAGACTAGCCAAGGAGAAGAAACAGCAATAACAACCTTGTTTATGAGAATTGTGCCATCATTGAATCATCAGTGTTGTAAGCTGGACATGGATCATCACACATTTTCTTAAATCATAGTATGGTTTCCTTAATTTTGATTTAGCTTGTGTGGTCTCAGCATAGGTGGTTGCAAAGAAATTAAAATATGTTCAAATTTCTTGCAAACGTGTTCTGATCCCAGTTGGGCTACAATAGTGATTTTAACACTTCAGTCTATTACAAAATAGACAGGAATTTTCAGCTTTCAAGATCCTTAACTTGGCCATTGGAGTGGGTCTAATGAAAACATCTGCAAGCAAACAACCAAGTTCAGAGAGCATAAACACTCCACAGTTCATCCATGAGCGACAGATATTCTCTTCTACTGGAATAGCTACAAAGCTCTAATGTAATAGCAAGTCTCTTGATTTGAAATCGGGCAGGACAAATGGCAAAAGCAGACTTGCACCATTGCATTGCAACATCTTCCCCTTCTGTGCATGGTTTGTATACATTCGGATAAAAGGGGAGAAGCTTGCATTACAATGGGAGGGTATTGCTTTTGTCATTGTGCTGCTTTCTGGGATAAAAATAAGCTAGTGGCGAAATTTGTTCAATTGACCCCTTGATAAGAAGTTAATAAATATGTAATTCCTGAACTTGATTCACATTAACAATGTCAAAAGAAAATCATATAGGTAAATTGACTTAAACAGAAAGCTTGTAAGCTTGAGTTCTCAAAATACTCACACAAGACTCAGCTGCCAGTATTTGAAATGTCCTACCGATAGATAAAATGTGAGACATGTAACTCTTTATTAGGGGTTTAGTTTCTTAAGTGATATTTCTTGTTTAGCCTTCACTTGAAGTTCTGCCCCGTGTCATCTTCCAGGGGAAACTGTCATGGAGAAAGATCTCTGTATCTATGAGTGCATATAAGAAAGACCCATTTAGCAAAATAAATACTCGTTCCTTAGTACATAATTTTGTACCTCAGAGATCTGTAGAACATCTTCCAAAGGGAGTTCTCATTTGAAGACAAGAGTTTCTGGATCGATACGTTAATTGAAACAACTCCTTTGACAGTTGCACTTTTCAGAATTTTCCAATGCAGCAACTGGAATGCAAACATGCTTGCCAAAGTGGCATTTAGCTTGGAAAATATGTAGGAAAAATGTCTATAGTTACATGTTTGGTGGGTTTATTCAAAACCCATAAAAGTTGAAAACTCATACTGAAATTGGGTAGGAGAAATTGAGTCAAGAGAGCAAAATTGGAAATTAGATTCCCTCATCTAGATTTCTCCATCTGTAGTATGAAATGAAACTATTTATCTGGAGAAAGTAAAAACACCATTTAGACATCATTCAGTTATTTTTGATGATTTTTATTTTCCTTTTGAATAACATTGTTAGGAATATAATCTAATGGTTGGGTTGGCAATATATAAATCATNCTATTTTGTTATTATTTTTAATCTTGTGTGGATTAAATAGTATTCATTCCTAGAACTGTTCCTAGAACTGTTCTTCAGCAAGTTTTTATTAGTAGCAATGTGCCTGTAGTACCTGTATGGTTTCCCAGAGTAAAACCAATATTCAAATTCCAAGATGCAGGAATAGACAAACAATCCATAAGCTATACATCTAATTCAACCAATGTTTGACTTTTAACAGCTTAAAAAGCAATTGCTTAGTGAACTATCACCAAGGTAAATAAAGGACTTTCCTTTAATAATTCAAATCACTCTTGTTGAAACCTACACTGTCTTTCTGATGCTAAGATTTAATATGTACTTTCTTCTAAAATTATGCTAATATGTGTCTTCCCAGGTCCCTCATCATATGAAGACTTTGCCCTATTACGGCTATGACCAACCAGTGATCGGATACTGCCAGGCTCATAAGCCTCTCCATGTAAATAAGGGATATGATACTATTTCCCGAGACCAGGCTGAGACCACCAACTTGGAGCTGAGTCGAGATCACAGCTTCATCGCTACCATTGCCCGCTCTGCTGCACCAGCTATTTACATTGAGAGAATACCAAACTGACGGATCACCTTCTGAATGAAAATGAAGGAGAATGTGTGGGAGGTTTCTTATTTTTCCCCCTCTGCGGGGAAAAACAGCCCTTCGATTCAAGACGCGAAAGGCGCAAGAAGACATTTTGAACCGTTCCAGTGGGAAAATGTTCTCAACCCAAAACCACAGAAAGAGAACAAAATGGCAGATGTCTCACAGAACACTGCGGAAATTCAATCTGGTGACCTGGCCATACGGATTGGTGAATTCCAAAATGTCCTTTGGTTTTAAACTGTTGAACAAACTTCTCGGTGTAAATAAACAAACAAAAAGATTGTTGAGTTCTTATATGAAAAAAAAAAGAAGTTAGATTTCACTCTAGCAAGATAAAGGGATGGATTAAAAGTTGTGTTTGTATATTTGATTTTTTCTACATTGCACGGTTCTGATGGAAAAGAACCACAGATGCCACTTTGGAGTGCAGGAGGAATGGAGAGGGAGGGAGGGTCTGCCAAATACAGAATGAAGTATTATTTCTTTATAATTGTTTATTAGTATTAGAGGTTTCCTTTAACATTCCCCCTCTTTTCAAATTGGAACATACCAAATCAATTTTTTCTCACTTCTTTATTTCCTAAGAATGCAAGATCTGTCTTATAAATTCCAATTCCAAATAGGGCATTTATTGAACCAAACGGACAGTGACAATTCTGTAAAAGAACCAAGATGCATAACTGACAAAACTTGGGGTGCATGTACATTTAAAACACATGCTGTACATTTTCGACGAGGAGGGTGACTTTTCCTTTTTTCTTATCTTCATTGTGATTCATTGTTGACACTTCTGTTACATTTGGGGTTCTTTAAAAAGGGGAGGATGATTAATGATGCAATATGAGCTCACACTTGAACATGGAACTTCTAAATGTAGGGGAAAGGGAGGACTTTGGTTATAGAGATATGCATTACATACCCTACCTGTTGAAAATTATTAAAAATGGGCTGACAAAAAGGAAGCTTCGGTGAAATTTGAAGGAAGATGTGATTTTAAAAGGGAAAAGTAAAGAAATCATGGAAGGATGTGTAACATTGTTTGATTTATTTTTAATTAATTATTCTGATCAGTTAGCTTTTGTGTAGTTTTTATCAATAAAAGAACAAAAATGATGGAGGAAAATAAACATATTATTTTGTGGTTGGGATGCCACACCTAAATTAATGATTGAATGTTTTCTTTAGCTATTTTATATAGTAATANTTTTCTCTACCAGAGACATGAGAAAATATTTTCAAATTGTCTTACATTCGTTCCACCACATTAAATAAATGAACCATATATTTAACTGGATATTATTAGATGTGATACAAGTTGTGGGCATATAATTTGTTTGGAAGAAGCTAAATGCAGATAATATGAATAAGATTACAGTCTGGTGATAAATAGCATGTCATCTTTCTTATTCAACAGAGATTTATTTTTGCAATAGGCAAACAATGCTAGATCAAATGAAAACCCATATACGAGCATACACGCACAAAGACAATAATCTTTCACTAAGAAAGGAAAACTTAAGTATAGCATAGGATTCTCAGCTTTGGTATCCTTCCCTGAAATATATAATTTGACTTCTTTTGTAAGCAATCCAAGTCACCTCCTTCTATCCCACCTCAGCAGAAACACTGATATTTTCACAACATGCATGTAACTAGTGATAAACAAGTATCAGTTGCAAAACTATAGGAAAAATTACTTTAGTTAAAAGGTTGGACTAGAATTAGAAGGGTCTAATATCATCCAAATAGTCTTTACTTCTGTCTCTGGGTCCAGTATTCTCCTTATTAACAGCATCTCCATCTTGTCTTGATTTAATTTAATGTTCTTCCTTATTCTTTTTCATATTTCACATTTAAGCGATATTCAAAGCTTCTTGGGATTAGATGATAAGCAGTAGAGCTGAGTTCATTTTGTATCAGAGGTGGCATTCAGCCAGTTCTGACAGGTTCTGGAGAACCGGTAGCAGAAATGTTGAGTAGTTCGGAGAACCGGCAAATTGGCTGGCCCCGCCCCCACTGCCTCCCAGCCTCCCAGTTGATCTTCTTTTGTTGCCCTGAACAGGAAAATGGAGCTGGAAAGCAGGTTAGTGGGATGGGGAGAGAATAAGGATTTTGCAGTAACCTTCCCCCCCCCCCAGGAGTGGGGAGAAAATGGGGATTTTGCAGTATCCTTCCCCTGCCATGCCCACAAAGCCACACCCACAAAGTCACACCCACAGAACCAGTAGTAAAATAATTTGAATCCCACCACTGAATGGTATACTGATGACACCCCATTCCAAGCTCCAAATGATCATAGATGTTCCATGCTGATGTTAAATTGCATTAAGGCTGATGGAACCCTGAGTGACAACATCTAGGTTATAAACACTAATCCCTCAAGCACCTTCTGGGGTGCATCCTGGCCAGAAGGATCAGAACCCCTGCAAAAGAGTGCTTCAAGAGACAATTTGTGGTCCTCCATTTAGCTTCTGGTATAGATCATTCATCACACTGGAAGGTGATCTTCTCAATCACTTTATTGCAGAATGGAGAGTTAGAGATTGATTCTAATGATCTTCTGGATCCTTTGGGACAGAAAATGTTTCAACAGGAGTCATATAACTGCCTCCTTTAAGCAAAGGGGAGCATATTCCCCACTCAAAAAAGCAATTGTCATCTCCCACAACCAGGTCCTAAGCATCAAGCGTACAACAAAGAAATGGCACCATTGCCTTTCCATCAGTTAGAACAGAGCATGTTATTTTGAAGGTCACCTTTCTATGACCTGCCCCTGTACTGCAGTCCAAATCAAGGCAAATGCAATTAGCTGTTTGCCAAGAATGATGAAAACTGGTCACAGCTGTTGTGACTGTTCCTGATACACTTCTCTATGAAGAAGCAGTATAGCAGTACACTCCTATTCTGTGCAAACACACTGAAAGCAGAAAAGCAAGACTTGTTCTACACATGCAGTGTTGTGCACTAGATTTCATATTGCGTAAGTGCCCTGCTGTTAGCTAGAACCATTTGTCCTGACAGTATCTCTATTTAGATTACCAAAATTCTACAAATCCACAATATTATTTTGGCTCCTTAGTTGACTAAGGTTCTACTTGAGTTACAGTATGTTGGAGAGAAAGAGGTGATTGGGACCAATAAAGAAGTTAAAATTCTCATTGAAGAAGTTTTTATGGAACTAGGTAAATTTAGGAACAATGAAGTCCTCCTGTCCAAGGGTTAATCCATAAAGACGCACCAACTAATGGTTCAATGATCAATTTGCTACCAAACATATTTTGTTTCTTTCCAAAGAATAAAAATTTAGAGAATAGTGATGATGGTATCTTTATGATTAAGAGCATCCTTCAAGAACATCATTCTTGATATAACTACTGCATTCAACAAGTTCCCTGAAGGCTGCAGTAATTATATCTCTTCATTCCACACTAATGGACTTATTGATTGTTACTTCTCTAAGTAATAGTCTGTAAGGTTAAGAGCTTCACCTGAAATTAGATTTAATATCTATCTGGGAAAAACAGCACAATGTCTACCTATTAAGAATTGTTGTCATGAAGAAACCCAAAGATTCTTAATAGTCAGAGGGTAAATTAAAGAGGTAGAACAATATATCACCCCATGCTTCTAGAAGATAAGGAGGTTATAAGCTGTTAATATTTATTTATATAATCATTGTATTAGCTCCTTTAATTGAGGAAGCATCTCTAAGTATTTTGTGGCAAATTGAAAGATCTGTTTCTTAGAAAATTTTGCTGTTACAGATCAAGTAGATCTAAACCTCCACACTTTCCTTTATATCTTATACCATGTATCTTAGATATATCATTCTGCCATTGTTTAAATGGTGCATCAGTTGTCAAAACAGGTATTGTCTGAAACAAAAATAACATTCTAGGTAAAACATTCATCATACAAATTCTCCCCAACATGACAGTTATATTTAACGTAACTTTTAAAACTTCATTTCATGTATTAACACAATTGTTTTCAAATAACATACGGTTCATCATGTATTAGTAATACCCAAATATTTAACCACCTTCTCAATAATAGAACCATTTTATTCCTCAATTATCTTTGATCTTGAACTGTTATATTTTTTAACATCTTTGTCTTCTGTTTATTCATCTTAAAACCTGTCAATGCACCATTTTTAAAAAATTTACCATTAATAACTCAGTTCCCTTTAAATCTTCCAAAACTAACACCAAGACATCTACAAAAACTCTTAAGTTACATGTCTCTTTTTAATATTCATGCTCACAATCTTCTCATCTTGCCTTGTGCCTCTAGTCAATATTTCAAGAACTAAAAGGAACAAAGAGTGAGCATCCCTGACTTGTTCTTTTCTGTATCTCACAATGTTTGTTAGATCTCCATTAACAATTATTTCTGCTTTCTGTGAAGTTTAAATCAATCCTATTCATTTTCTTAAGTTCTCCTCAAAATTCGTATCTTCCAAATCTCAAACAAAAAAGGTCTAATTCAAATGGTCAAAAGCCTTCTCTGCATGTAAAAAGATCAATGAGACTTGTTCATTATTAGTTCCAAATATTCCAACATACCCAACACAGTTCTAACATTATCCTTTACCTTTTAAGTAATAACCCACATTGATCATCATGAACAAATCCTTGCAAAATTATTTTCAGTCTTTCAGCTAAAATCATAAACAACTTGTGATTAGTCAATAATGGAATTGATCTGGCATTTGGAGCTGACATTTGGATCAGGGTGCAGTTACTAAGGGTAGTCAATAGTTTATCTAAGGGGTAATGTTGGGAGAGTTATTTGTTTTTGATCATCAGATTGGCCCACCTCTCTCCAGATGCAAGTTCAGAGGAGGAGGGTGAGTTTGCAGAGCAAAGTGTGGCACTGAGTATTGCTCAGGAATGCTAGCTGATGAGGAGAATGCTAGCCTGGTGATCCAGCCTCAGCTGGATAAATCAGACAAGCTACTAGTTGAGGCTGATCGAAGTGAGCCACAGCTGCAGCAAGTTGACCAGGAGGCCCCAGGCAAGAACAGGAAGAAGTTAAGATGCCTGTAAGCAATGAGAAGGTGGAGTCCACACCTCCTAATCCACGGACATGTAGAGCAAAGAGGAGAGAGGCAAACAATGTTGGTCAGTTGACTACTCATAAGAAGGCAATCTGGCCTTTCATGAAGAGCTGCATTAGCATTGCCTACTTAACTCTGCCCTGAGGATTTGAGTGTTGCTGGAGTAACATGCCCTGTTCTGTGCCTTGTGTGCTTGTGCCATGTATCCTGGTCTGTTTGACTCCTGGACTGCTTTCTTAGACTGTGTGTGCCAGTTGGACTCAGTTCCGCAGTGACTGTTGCTGTATTGAGCTTGGAATCTGGACCTGTGCAATAGGAGTGATAACCTGGGTTTTTTGGGTGTGTGTGTGAATAAGAGTCCTGTAGGACTCTTGCCATTTGTGTGTGTGTGTGTGTGTGTGTAAAGGGGGGGGGGGAATCAGGGTAGCACATCCTGTCAACTTTGACCCAGAGTGGCTTGTGTGAGATGGATAGTATAATAGTATGTTGGAATTATCTTAGGTGATGGAGGGCGTGGCACGACAAAACCGCGCTCGACTAAAGTGCGCCCAATTAAACCGCGTCGCTGACGTCATCAGCAGGGCGACAACAGCGAGCGCGGAGAAAGAAGGGTGCTTTAA